TCTCGCTTGCCACTAGGTTTGGCGGGAGCCTGGACAGGAGGGGCGGCTGCCCTGCGACCGGCTCCACGGCACACACCCTCGTGCAAGTACCCACATCTTTAAAAATCTAATTGCCAAAGCAACAATTCTCATTTTCATCAAGTTTAACTGAAATAAAACTGAAACAAATGAATAAAAACTATACAAACTATACAGAAAATGATATGAAAATAAAAATATACAAATTAAAACTAATAACTAAAAACTAAAAACTATTATAGTACATCAATGATAATAAAAACGCTGCAAAGAAAAAAGGAGCTCATTTAAAAGACATTATAATTATTCATCACTATGAGTGATGAATATTCAGCACAATATTAGAGAATTTTTTTATTTTTTTTGCAAAAACTTACATATTGTTATTGTACCAAAGCCAAAATGAGTGATTAAAATAATAACATTCATTATTATTTTATGAAATTATAGATTTTACACTATTTGTTACTTCCAAAATGGAAATATTAAGCTAGAATTATATTAAGTCCAACTATCTGTAGCAAACAGTGCAGGATGAGTTATCCACTCAAGGTATTAAGAGTATGAATTTGACCAGCTATCATTAATACGCTGTTTGCTTCCAAATAAACGACTTCTAAACTGACGTTAGGTGACGCCAATGCAAGCAAACTTACTTTTAATGTTCAGTTCATGCCCCTGAGACCATGACATCTGGATAGTATAAATATCAGCATTTCACGAGAGTCAGACAAACTGTGACATAAGCTTGAAAGAAGTGAAGTTGAGAAGTCTGCAGGAAGCTTTTGACAGTAAGCTGAGCTGTCAGTGCTCTTTTCCTTCAGCAAACCTTGCAACCGCTGAATGTTCTCACAACATCTGACCTTTTCTGTGTTGATGTCATTGGGACAGTGGTAGAGGAACTGAGATTCCTCCAGTAGCCTCCGTATTAAATAAAAGAAGATTTGAACAATTGCCTACAACAATGTAATGAAGCTCTTTCAAAAATAACTTGATATTGTTTGTTTTTGTCACGTAAAAAGAAGTTTAGTGGTTTTCGACTGGTTTTGCTTCAAAACTCAAATTTTACAAGGAACATCAAGTGCCAGCCCAACACAGTTTGAGACACAAAAGGAAACAGAAAATGTCCTCTAAAATATACTCATATACAGCTGCACATTGTCTTTATACTGTAGTTTGACTGCTTGGTTTGTAAATGTCTCTTGAAATTTGACTATAGCCTATAATTCAATGCACAAACAAAGCATTTTAGCATTCCTAAAACTGACCTACTACAATTTTCCCAAAATCCCATTTCCATACAACTCCTCTGTGCTTTTTACACAATGTAAGGTAATGTAGTTTCATATATAGGGTGCAATTCCACGTTTCATAAGCTAAGGATTTATATTGGGGCACATTTTAGATCTGCGTTCAACAGAAATCTGGAGGCCTTTGGTAGAAAATTGTTTAGCGGCACCACTAAACATCAACTGGAAGCAAATTTAGTTCTCCCGTCATGACCTCACCTCTAAAATGGAAGACCTCATCATTACAAGGCATGGATTCAAATTCTGGTCATCCTCAAGTCCAACAAACTAATAGGATGCTTTGTGTCAATGTTGCTTTTCTGTCTGCTTGTAGCACGTCAGAGGCCCCGGTTAGTTTTTCCTAATTGCTCTGTGGGGCTTGTGAGGGCAGTTATTCGCTATTGATGGTGCATTTGGGAGGAAGAGACCTTGGCTGACAAGTGCTCTGACAAATACAAGCAAAGTATACTGTGAGTTATTGGAACACTAAATTGAAGAACACACAGTCCTTCTAAAGAAACAATGAAAACAGCCCACCAAAGATCCCAAAGACCACTGAAAACGACACAGCGATCCAGTGGAAGCCACCTAATTTTGTGTTTACTAAATCCAATACACCAACCAAATCAAATGGGGAAGGAATCGAAACATCGTTTCAGTGCTGTCTGTTATAACCTGATATGACCCTGACCTACAGTAAGTGTCCTCTTTTAGGTCATTGTGGAAGATGATATCTTTGCGGCTCCCACACATAATAAAATCAAAATACAGGTATCTGCCCAAGAAGAAACAAGTCATAAGAATATGACAACTTTAGCACACAATAAACATGCCATAAACAAGCATATGTCTGTTGGGAGGTTCAGATGTTATCTCTAAAAATGCTACTGACAAGTCATTCCTTGGCAACTATAACTAACTTGTTAGTAAGCCTAACTTGGCTCTTTCCTAACGTACACAACTGTAATTGTTTTAAAATGTTTTTTGATAGAAGTCTCATCTTCACCAAGGCTGCATTTATTTGATCAAAAATACTGTAAGAATAGTAATATTGTGAAATTTAATACATTTTAACATAATTGAAAACATAATTTATTCCTATGATAGAAATGCTGAATTTCCAACAGCCATATTCTCCAGTCTTCAGTGTCACACGATCCTTCAGAAATCAAAGTAAAAAAACCAGCATTTATTTGATATAGAAATCCTTTGTAATATGTGACCCTGGACCACAAAAGCAGTCATAAGGGTAAATTTTTCGAAATTGAGATTTATACATCATCTGAACGCTGAATAAATAAGCTTTCGTATATTTGATATATTTGTTTGGATAGGACAATATTTGTCCGAGATACAACTATTTGAAAATCTGGAATCTGAGGGTGCAAAAAAAATCAAAATATTGAGAAAATCACCTTTAAAGTTGTCCAAATGAAGTTCTTAGCAATGCATATTACTTATCATAAATTAAGTTTTAATATATTTAAAGCAGGAAATTTACAAAATATCTTCATGGAACATGATCTTTACTTAATATCCTAATGATTTTTGGCATAAAAGAAAAATCAATCAGTTTGACCCATACAATGTATTTTTGGCTATTGCTACAAATATACCCCAGCGACTTAAGACTGGTTTTGTGCTCCAGGGTAACATATCATAAAAGTATTTTTTCTGTCACTTTTGATCAACTTAATGCATCGTTGCTGAATTTTATCTGTATTAAAATCATACTGGTTGTTTGGGTAGTTTTACCCGCTAAATCAATCAAATTCATTTGAGCGCTCAAATAATAAATAAACATAATAAATAAAATAAACAAATAAAATAAAATAAAATTGAAAGAATGAATGAATGAATGAAAAAACACCTCCTGAAGCCTGCTTGTGGTTTAGTTACTTTTTATGATGTCCCTTTTTAATCCCTTGCTATACATTATGAACACTTAAAGAATTGGGATCACTTGCAGATGAGATGGTACCTTTTCTGGTTCATTTGAAGTGAAAGCATCATTTAGCACAATTTTACAGAAACTATACCCATTACTGTTTTGCTTTTTAAATCTTAAATTGGTGCTAATTAACTATGTGTCACCCTCATTGCCAAATTAAGAATATCAGTGCAAACTTACTAGTTATTATTAGTTTTTTCAAGGGAAACGTCAACATGTTTTCATTTATGTAACGCTCAAGATCATTGTAGTGTGGATAGTAATTAGTTCACAGTGCCGTATTGAATGTATTGTAGAAATGTTAGGAACAGTTCTGTTTACTTAGAGTAATCACTTTCAAATGAGTCCTTTCTCTTTTCAGTTAACTGTGAGATGTGTTTGCCTCAATTCTGATTTGAAATCGCTACAGTTTAAACTTAAAAAAAAAAGTTTTAATACGGTTTCTTTAAAAAAGTCAGATAAAAATGCTTGCAATGTCACAAATCATTCCTGTACACATAAAAAATAATAATTTGTACCATTTCAATAGTACATATTACTGAAAATCACGCTCTTCACAGAAATATCTAAAAAGCTTGTCTGAGGTCGAGAACGCAGCCAAGAGAGGTGGAGCTCAGCACAGGGTCAACTGTGGACGCAATAGCCATTACATAATGAAAGCATTTACATTATTACTCCCTAGAACTCCTTAAAATGACATGACAAAGATGAAAATTAAGCATTTATTGGCTTCTCTAAATACAAAAATTACACTGGGCAGACGCACTTACCCTGTGGCGAAGCAATTTACTCAATTATTTGCTTTTGGCAGCAACCTTTCAGAATTCCTACAAGAATACTGTCAAATTTCTTTTGTTCTAAACTTACAAAGAAAGTCAAACTCCTTGTTTACAGCCACTTATTAGCACAATTCAGGCCTGATAATGAATCGGTCAGCAGCTCAGCTTCTGAGAGGAGGAGGATGTGCAGTTAGTTTTATTATTTGCTTGGGTAATCCTCTGGCGTGACAAAGCAAACGGCCCCCTGAGTTTACACGTTTCTATATGATTTACAGCCGTATTTAAATGTTAAGAGTCCAGCTCCAACTGCCGTTTCTAGACCTTTCACAACAAGTTGTGTACTCTGCCGGGAAATGCGTCATCACACATGCCAACTTTTTTTGTTTTGGCACCACGCGTGGGTAGAGCGATCCAGTGTGCTTCCAGAGTTCGCTGTTGCAACTTTGGAGAAGTTACTTCATTCTTTGTCTGTCAAAAGAGAAGTTCACTTTCTCTGGCAGCCAGGAAAACTTGCTCAAGGAAAAAGCAAGGGAGGATCAAGTGAGAGGATGACAAGTCCACTGGAAAAAGAACAGTACACAAGCGTGCAGAAAAAGCCTTTCTAGGGCTATTTACCACCCTCGGGATTAAACTCACGGATCTTTCTCTTTGTTGGAAAGTGAGGTGAACGTCCATATGGAAATGCTATATGCAACCGTTTGTTGCCATGGCTTTGGAAAAACACCCAAACATACATGTGCGTGCTTCATCTACAGTGTCTACAATGCATTGTGGGTAGGGTTCAGAGAGTTTTCCCCACTTCTGTGGGTGTCCTCTCCAAGGAGATAATTATTACAATGTAAGACGTATTACCCTGTCTGAATCTGTAGTAACAATGCAGATTATGCAGCTTTTTACTCTGCTTATTTACCAGTTATTGAAGCGTAATCGACTAATTAAACGTCTAAAGAATAAAAAACATACCTTTTTGGTTTTAACAGTAGAATGGCAGCAGTCTCCACCATCGTAGTTGCAGAACGCTCGGTTGTTGATGGCGTCACAGTAATTATCACCCATAAACGGCTGGTGAAAAACAGATAAAATGGCTCTGTAATATGAAATTACTGAATATATAAACACACAAACAACATCAGCAATATAACGCAATAGAAATGAACTCTTCTTGTGGTTCTTCTTGCGGTTCATTGTCAAATAATAATGAGTTCCCCCATAAACTCCATCAATACATTCATGTAAAACGAGAAAGCAAGAAATAAAGAGACAGCCACTCACACTTGCATGCATCCACAACTGTGTAAAAATAGACACACAGGCTTGAGTCTGTTGCAATTATGTTGCCCTGGAAAAATTGAGTTAGTATTCCCGGGCTTGTGGATGGTGGAGGCCGCTTTTAATGGGGAAACCAAAGCCCTATTAAACTTATATGTGTCTCCCTTGGGAGTTACAACACATTTCCATCTTGACAGGCACAAAAGGTTGCCCAACACACCTGTGACCTTTTCCAGTTTGAAATCATCTCTCTGGCCCGACCCAAAAGCTTTCAGAGGGCTGCTAATTACCACCCAATGAAACTGGGTCAGGATGAGCTGGGTTCAAAAGTCTGCAGCTCTGGCCCGAATAAAAAATGGACTGGTCATCTTTCTGCCACAGCAAGACTTGTTATAAATGAGAGAGAGGTGCAGATTAATCGCACTTTCAGAACAGCAGCGCAGAAGAGTCACATGTGCTTTGAAGAAATTATGCTTCTTCAAAGAGCAATATACAGTACATGTCAAAATGTCAGTTCAGTCTTTGCAGTGGCAAATGATTTTTCAACAGCTCTTTCTGCAAGAAGGCACAGTAGCTGTTTTTTTATTCTCATTCGGTGATTTGAGGAAGTTGGGAACATGATACCCTCTAAATGAGGTTTCCAGGTTCGTCTATAACGCAAAAAGAAAACAAACCGCCCTTAAAAACAAAGGTGGTAACAAATCCCACTTGTCTGCTGTTGTTGGCCCTGTTAAACCTGACTCAGATTAGGCTAGACTGGCCCGAAGAGCAAAAGGAGAGGAAGACACTAAGCACAGCATGTTTATTTATGTATTAGACTTCAAAGAGCGTGAGAAGATGGCAGAAACAACTGTTCAAGGTCAGGCTACAGAGAACAGACCTCCATGACTGCATAGAGCTTAAAGCTATGGCTGGGAGATTACCTTGAAACAACTATCAGCGGAATAATGTTGTTATCATGCAAACATACAGTGAGAGTTCAGATATGGTGAACAGAAAATTAACTGAATCATTTCAAATTATTTAAAACAAAAAAAAAATAAAATGAAGTTAAATAATAGATGAATATGAATGAAATAATAAAAATTAATAAAAGAAATGATTTTCAAAACATAAATAGCAGAAAAATAAATGAATAAAAATTACTATAATAAAAATGTTTTTATTTAAAGTAAATGAACAATAAAATGTAATTATATATATAAAAAAGAATATATATATATATATATATATATATATATATACAGTATATATACACATACACACACACACACACACACACACACACATACATATATATATATATATATATATATATAAATGAGTAAAAATATGTGAGGTAGGGCTTACCTCGCATCCCTTAATACAGTGGAGGGCCTCTGGGTTAGGATACCACTTTAGTCCCATGGTGCACACAATATTCTGTGTGAGAGAAAATTACAGATGAACAAAGTTAAAATTCAAAGTTAACAATGTTTAATGGTTTCAGACAATACAGTTCCATTAGAGTGAATTAACAAAACAAATAGCAGCCACTGTAAGGGTTTTTCAACAACACTGTAAAAAATATTTTAGTTAAAATAAAACAGATTCTTGGAGTATGTCTTACAAGAAAATACTACTTCAGTCTTTCCACTTCAAAATTTCATGTTTAATTCTATGTGGTGCTTGCCATTGATTTGCAATTAATTGTGAAATGTACTTATTTAAGAGGGAAATTGATTCTACACCATTTTCATTCAGTTAAATTGACAAGAAAATGTATGTGAAGCTCGTCTAAACAAAACTCAATAAATGGTTAGTTGCTATACAGTTGTAGAGGTGTTCTGAGCATTTTTAGCATGTTTCTATGGTGTTCTGTGTGGTTGCTTACATGTCAGACCTCAAAGTCTCTGTAATATTCTGATTTCTACAAGTAAGTTTAAGGGATTTATTTGAACCCTTTTATTATCCAGCAAACCAAAATTTGGAGTTTGTTTACCTAAAAAAAAAAAACAAAACCTTAGCCTCCCTCAAAAAGACTCATGATTTGAGGTATCACGGTGCAGGACGAGTTACACGCTGAGCACACAGGGTCAGGGGTTTGTTCAAATCCTTAGCAAGAATCGCTAATAAGCCTTCAGGCTGGCAGGGATTTCAGTTTGAATGTGGAGAACCTTTGCTCTGTTTGTTGACAGATTTCTTTGACTAACACACAGAACACAAACAAATCAAATCCTCTATGAGCCCAGTGTTCCGGTGGTGATGCTTAAATCAGCTAGGAATCAATGAAAGAGCTCGGCTTGAAGGATTACAGTCTTAAGAGCTTGGCTAAGTAGGGGACTCATTAAACTCCAGGAGTGCTACCCAGCTCCCACCCCTGCTGAGGAGAGTAAAAGGGGGGGCGGCGGACCTCGGTGGCTCGGCCTCCTGGGTTAGCACAGGTAGAGAGGATGTTTGGAGAGGTGAAATGACGCGGTCTGGGGGAACTCCAAATGCAATGAGGAATGGAAAGGCTGAGCATAAACAGAACATTTCCAAGAAAGCAGGCCTTTGCCCTGCTGGCCAACTGTGGCCATCCACACACATACACACACGCTTAGTATTCAGTGTCACACCAAGGACCCAAGCGGCTTCAAGGCCTAATTTAAACCGTGTGCTCCTGAACTTGTGCTTGTTTTTATAGTTTCTCCGCAGGCCTGAGCTGCACGAGTGCTACCTGCCTTCTATTAAATAGACTTTTATACTATCTGTATCAGAGACTGTTTCAAGGCAGGCTTTCATATTTTCCGTCCTATACGGTCAAGACACGACATTTCCTGTTGGCTTCCAGGCTTGTACGCACCACACGTCGGCTGATTTATGGAAAACCAGATGCATACAGACAGCAGGATGTTTTCTTCCAAGTCTCGCCATTTGAATGCTATCAATAAAATTGACAGAAATAAACGGCGCTCCAACAAATTCCATGAAGAAACTCCAAGGACCATGTTGGGTCAATCCCCTTGCAAGGCTGATTTATCCTGGAGAAATCCTATGATATGGAGAATTAGGCCTGGAGGAAACTATAGCAGCGCTCTCGGATGCGGGCGGTAAATTTGTTTGTGCTTCCTAAAGCTCCACTGCAGCTTTAACAATCAAGTAAAGAACCACATGGCACAGACCAAAACGAAAAAGCATGAAAGGCACCACCACACCAAAGGACGTCCACAATAGTACAGAGGAGGAAATGCAAATATGGAATGAATAATCCAGACAACCTCATAACCACTGGCGGGCATGACGTCACCCAAAAATGTCATTCAGTAGTCCATATATAAATGAATGACACAGTGAATGCGGAAATGGATATTCCTTGAGACCTGTCTGGCCTCTGTGACCCTAGTCGCAGCTATTGATATACTGTCGTATGAAATCACTAGTTTCCACAAAGATACAGAAGAATAAGCCACACTTTTGACTCTTTCCATGAGTTTTAAAGAGTCACAGGCTGTTTTGTGGTTGGCATCTGTCAGCAGGACACAAAGCAAAGACCTTACTGTTGAGATAAAATCACTTGTTTCTCATCTTGCAGACTCAAAGGACTGTGAAAGTAAGTGCTGGTGAGAGAAAAGACATTCAAATGCTACAACCCATCTGGAATATGACAATGGTTTAAACAGTCACCATGTTGTCATGGCAAAGGTTTAGCATTCTTTGGTCATCCCTGACCACAGTTTTGAGGTGAGGAGAATAACATTCGGTTTGCCTGTTCATCATACACATTGTTTCTGAAGTATTCCCGTTCTAGTCTGTGACTCTCTCAGGAAATATGAAAAGGAAATATGCGTTATTACTGTCTCAAGCTTTTTGTTTGTGTCTACTACATATTTTGTGACAAAAGCTTCTTGAGGGGAAGTGCTCGAGTATTGGTGATGTCCAAACATTAATGCAGCCACATCGTCATGCTGTTATCGTACAGATGAAATGCTTGTTTGTGGGTCTGACAATTATTTGCTTTGGAGCAGAACCTCCATCTTGTGTTTCTTTCAATTTCCTCTAGTCATGCTCCTCTGGGGTATTCCAGAAAGCAGGTTATGTGACATACCCGGATAAGTTTAGGGATAAGGAAAAGGATAACCTCAACCTGCATATCCAAAACCTGGTAAAAGGTAAGAGTTAAAAAAAAAATTACCCCCACATGCATTTTTGGAACCAATAACCATGACTAAGAAACGTTTGGGTTAATAAACGGAGAGTTTGGGGTTTTATGTGATGGTAAGTTAACCCTGCTTTCTAAGGCACAGGGGAAAGGGCAAATGTCATCAATGTGAATGACTGTGTGTGTGTGTGGTCCAGTGTATTTCAGTCAGGTAAACATAATGAAACACTGGACATTATAACAGCCAAGAGCAAAAATGTATCATTCCCATTTTTGTTGTTAATGATCAATCTGATCATTAATCGTTAAGTAACAACTGCCGACTTCTCTGGTGTGTTTACATCTTATTTTGGGTGTTTATTTGGACTACTTTTAGTGCTTAGGTTACAACCTTTTGCTGAATTATTACACAGAAGATTATTTCTGAGATGTTATGTCATAATCATGTGTTAAAAAGCACTGCATGGTGTTAAATATAGGTACTCAATGTTTGAAGGTTCAGCTTGTACTATGAACAGGTCTCAAACATTTACTAAACAAATCCAGTGTAATATTCATCAAAAATATGGAAAAGTTTAGAATATGAGATCAAACTAAGAAGACAAACCATTTATGATAGTAAAGTGAGCCCACCCAAATCTTCCCATGTTTGGGCTCTCACCTTAACTTTGGGTGGGTTCCACCAGTGGTCTTTCATCACAGCTGCAACGCTCGTGTTGCTGGGCAGGAGGACCACACTGCTGCTAGCATCTCTACACGCCACCTCACACTCCTTTCCTGTTGGGCATCACAGACAGGTGTTATTTATGACAATGGTACATTGATATCTGCTTCAGGGCAAATAAAATTTACCTTTATGATCATTAAGAATGAATAAGCATTTTTAATTTTAAAACTAAAATAAATGACTTGAATACAAAATTGTATTCATTAATACATGTATTCAAAGCACATTAATCAAACATAAAGAAGTTTACACTGTAAGGCATAAAACATGCTTAACAAGTTTTAAGTGTGGAAAGGAAATTAAGTTAATTCATTAAATTAACATGATTCAGGTAAACTAATGTTTTAAAATCAAAAATACAGTAAAAACCATAATATTGTGAAATTATTGTGATTATCGCAGTTTAAAATAACATTACTCCAGTCTTCAGTGTCACAGGATCCTTCAGAAATCATTCTAATATGCTGATTTGGTGCTCAAGAAACATTTCTTATGAATGTTGAAAACACTTGTGCTGATTAATATTTATGTGAAAACAATGACCTTTTTTCAGGATTCTTTGATTACAAAACAGCATTCATTTGAAAAAGAAATATTTTGCAACATTATAAATGTATTTAATTTCATTCTTGATCAATTTAATGCATCCCTTTTATTAAAAAAAAGAAAACATACTAACCCTAAATTTTTAAATGATAGTGTAGCTACAAACATGAGGACAGTTTAAATAACTTGCACAGATTCTCTACAAACTGCTTCACCAAGACTGTAATTAACCTGACAGATAAAACCAAGTGAGATAGTTGTTTTAATAGCTACTATACTGCCCCACAAAAACAAGACACATTAACTATATATTTAGTCACAATTGAGTTATTACCAAAAATCAGCTCTTCAATACAATGTGACAGATGCTTTGGACTCAAAAAATCTCTGATTAAGAGAGAATTTGAAATCGAATTAAAAACATGTTGTTGTAGTTGCACCGGCCCTTGTGGCAATGTTGAGAATGCAGTGCATACTTGTGTGTGCAGTGTGCTTTGGGCCTAAGAAGTGAAAAGCAGATAGGCAGAGACCTATGCCGTGTCCGTCCTTGCAGTTGAGATGGATAGTTGGGCTGAGATTTTGTGGAAGGGAACACTGGCCTGTCAGGTTGGGGCAAAGACGGAAAGAACCGGTCCAGTTCCCGTCCTTTCTGCAGCGGATCACGTTGGTGGAAGGACCCTGGAGAAAAGGCCAACATTTCTATTAATCATCATAAAGGAAGCTCACTAACCATCACCACTTGGCAAAAAAATTTATGTGGTTGAATGTAAGGGTGGAGGCCAAGAATGGGCATGACCTTATGGTCAAGCTGTCCATATTATGCATTAGAAGCTGTGTAACTGACAAATGAAACAAAGCACATGTAAAATGCAAGATCAGTCTACCAGTCAAGCTGCTGACGCAGAGCAATCGTGATGCTTAAAAGTGAGTGATAGGGTGCGCATGATGAATGGAAAGCGCTGTAGACAGTAATGGGAGGTGACTGAGATGTTGATGGTGGAAAAAAGAAAACAAGGAGAGGAGAGAGAAGAACACGACAGACCTGCTTGCAGCGGCTGAGCTGTCTCACCGTGTGGTTAGCCCTGTTGCAGTCGATCCAGCAGTCGCTGTTGAACTGAAAGCCATTTGTGCACTTGTAGGTACCGTGGAAAATGGGAGGAGGCGGCTCACATGTGACTGCCACACACTCACCCGACTGCCAGGTTCCATCCTCCGTACACTGCCGCTTAAACGCACGCCTGTGGTACATCACAGGCACTGCCCTGCAACACGTTCATTAAGACAATGAGAGATATAGAAGATCGAGCAGAATCGTAGTATTTGAATACCTGGAAGGCTGGAGTACACTGCACCAGTTTTGCCCAGCTTTTTGCACTGATTTCCAGGATGAAAGAATCACAGTCTGCAGATTTTGGGTAGTCGGATTTGATAGATTTCACAGAAAATGATTTAATGTATGATGGGGCCAGATTTTTATACTTCAGTCTATGATTCCATCCAGTGTGTTTGTGAGATTGTTGTATTTGGAATTACTTCAACGTCTGGTATTCGTGATCTTCAGTCGTTTAGTGTATGATACTTAGTGTTTTTTAATCCAGATTTTAAAAGTTGTGTAGTGTATTCCAGCCTTAAAACAGCGTTTAATAATTGACTGTTCTCAGAATGAAAGGTTCATGGACCATCCATTGTAAGTTCATGGACCATCTGATGAATACTGCACTCAAAACTGGCAAGCACTGTCCAAAATGACAAGCTCTAATCTGGTTGGCTGCCTTTCCACAACTTCTGGGAGTCAGGGTGAGTCAAATTAACACCAAATGGATATCCATTCATCCTTCTTCCAAACCGCTTGTCATACATAGGTCACAGGCCAAGTAAATATCCCAAGTAGAATATGAAAAGACTGTATATTGCACTTTTCGGAATTACATGACATATTTGGTATTAATTACATTTAAACGCACAGAAATTCTGATCAAAGTCCCATTTCCGTTCACTTTGAGTTAAATGACATATAAAAACCAAACTAACTGTAGATGGTTTCTTTACATGTTGGTAACAAAGTCGCTTCCTGTATAAATGGGTTGTTTTTGGCCAGAATAATCTAAATTTGACATTTAAAGTGGATCAGATTTATGACTATAGTCAAATGTCTGGCTACGCGTGGCTACGTGAGTAATTAACCAACAGGGTAAATAATGTCTACGAAATTATCCAAGCTTTCAAACAACTGATACAGCCCTGAGTATTCAATTGCCAAAACATCATTAACTAAATCTGCAATGCAGTAAACAAGAGGACGATACAGTTCGAATACGGGACTCATTAAAGTTAAGTAATGTAAGTCATAATTATGCATTTAGGTCCGTTTAGTGGTGTCTCACCTCTTGGGCTTGTTTATGTGGGGCACATGGTAGCCAGGCTTGCACTTGTACTTGCAGAAAGACCCAACTTTGAGGCCTGTGGCATTGCAGCGTTTGGTCTGCAGGACAGCGTTGGGTACAGGAGGAGGGACCGGACAGCGCAGCTCACACAGAGCCTCGGGGAAGGACCACATGCCATCCTCCATACACGTCAGCACGTTATTACTTCCTGCGGAGACAGACAAAGAAGAGGACAAAGAAACAGGACAAGCTGACTTCAGATCTAAAGTGAACCTACTTCAATTTGATGTAAAACACGGGACTGTTTTCTCAGTGTGCATTGTTTTTTGTAGTTGGGGTCAATACTACATTTGGCATTTTACAGCGCTGACCTCTCAATCCCAAGGGCCTTTAGTTTTAGGATGTGTCAGGGTCTACCCACCCACTAACTGAGCCGGCTCCCGGCACTGAAAAGTGCACTTCTTGCCGTAGGTGGTTCCTTCAGAGAACTCAAAGATAGCCGGGTGCACGTGGTACTTGTCAGGCCGCCCGCAGTCCACAGGTTCACAGGTCACCTGCTTGTTCCATTTCCCATCCGCACAGGTGAGGATCACCGTGGATTCAGACTGTTGCGAAGGAAAAAACAAAGGCAATAGTTCAAAACATGGGAAAAGAACATTTTGTTTTCTCTAGATCAATTCACTGCAACCGCAACAATCCGTCCGACCAGACCATATCAAATAATACACTGTTTCAATAACACTATATAGACAAAAAATACAACTAAATGAAATGAAATGTATTTATGTATCTCTTGGTGAAAGGAAACAGTGGGAAGCTAACAGTCTGAGTGGGTGATAATAAAGGGCTTGGGTACAGCATATAAAGCTGTCAGAACTGAAGGCAGAGTGAGTCAGAGGTCATTTCTGCTGTTTTACAAGTCAAGTCTGACCTGTGTGATGTCTCCAAAGACATCTGTGGTAATAGCAGAGCCACAAACCACACACATGCCCGACCCCCCATAAGAACAAAACAATGAAACTTTCTGTCGAATCACTGCCATGACATAACGTGACTTGTGTTTCATTAGTGATTTGAAACTGATTTTCTGTTGGAAAACCCTGAACGAGTCCAAGTGCACCAAGCCCAGTTCCGTGAAAATGAGACTGACGAAGCAGATCCTCATTTTCACATGAGAGTAAAGTTACAAATTGTCACGAATTCATGATTGTTCATACACTTACGGTAAATTACAATAACCTTGGTGCTGAACACTAACATTTATAACGAACTAGCTGGTGTTTTTAAGGCAATGTTGACAGTAATGGCAGTATTTCCCGCTCCTGTTGAACATCCATAGGTAATTTTGCTTGATTTATTACAAAAAGGACAAATTCATTTATTCCAGCATGAGAACGATCCCGGTCATAGAAAGTATGAGTCCTTCCTCTAACCAAGGAAGGCACTGCATATTTCAAAAGGTGCATGAGAACATAGTAAAAAAGTAGTAAAAAAGTGAGAGTCCTTACTCTCTCTTTCTCTCTCTCTCCTCACTCTGTCAAAATCCAGTCCAACAATGAAGACTAGCTGGCCTATAGTTTATTTGGACTATTTAGTTGTCCTTGTCTCTTGAGTAATATGCAGGGGCATTTAATGACCTCTTATCAACTCAATACATAAATCCCTGCTTTTATTAACACAAATCCCTTACTGTGCCTGCAAACAACCAACGAATCAAACTGTACTGTGTACAAAGCAGGAATAACCGTCATGAATTTGTCACCAGCAGCACAACACTGCATTCTTCTACTAGTTCCTTAATGTATCTTCAAATGTGTGAACCATGTAGAAAGTTTGGGCTTTTATTGCACGACAGCAAATTTAAGACTTTTCTTAGCCAAACAAATGATTGTGATCTAACATGGTATGGGTTATGAAACTGTTGTAATTTTTGTGTGTGGTATTAAGCATTAAGTAAAAAGTGATGTTTAACATAAACCATACCCAGTGGCTTGGACACGGGCCATAGGTGGGCTTAGAGTCCAGACTGTTTTAATGAAGCACAGAGTAAAACATGCACTTCTCCACAGATTTCTCCTTTTGTTTATGACAAGTGATGAAAGCTGGTTGGTTCCAAAAAAAAAAAGAAGAAAAAAAAAGACGTTAGCTATGTTTATTGAAACAATATTTGTAAAGCCAAAAGTTTTTGCTGGCAAGGCACAGATTATTGTGGCAAATGTGCTTTAATGTGCATCCACAAAACAAAACATCAAGATGTACGAACAGCTTTTTTGTTGCTGCTTTACTGTGACCCAGGCCATCTTTTTTTCTTTCTCTCGTCTCTTTTTGCTTTATTTGAAATTACAGATTTAAATGGGCTGGAATGTGGTAAGCTTATCTAATGTTCTGTACCCTCTCAGGAAATGTACCAGCACCTAAAACTGAGCAAAGCAGCGGGAAGCATTTGAAATGCAATCCAGACACAGTTACAAAACACTTTTTGCCCCCTTCTTTCCCTCTTCCTTTTCTTGCGCTGAAGCTCTTATTGAAAACAGCTCACCATGGAAGTGTGAGCCTTGAATATTTGAGGTGAATATATATATATAAACAATGAGAAAAAAAGCAAAATACATAAGACCACAGTAAGCACAACAATAAACTAAGCAAAGCTAAACAAACAAAGAAAAGCAAACAAAAACTAAGCAGAGCCAAAAGTTAAACTAAGCAAAACAAAATGAAAACAGAGCAAAAATGTAAAAACAAAAATAACAGACAAAAACCAAACTACGTTAAAACAAACTAAGCAAAATAAATTAGGCAAAAAAAATAAACTAAGTGAAGCAAAAGCTAAAACTGAATAAAGAAAAACAAACAAAAATAACAAAACAATAAAATGAAGCACAATTAAAGACAAAAATAAAAACAGACAAAAAAGCAAAGCAAAAGCTAAACTGACCATAAAACAATATGACAAAAATAGCAAACAAAAATAAATGAAGCAGAAGCTAAAAGTAAAAAACTAAGCAAAACAAAACAAAATGAAGCAGAACTCATACAAAACAGAACAGAACAAAAACAACAACATGTCACAGTCTTCAGCCGGTGTGCCCAGGAGGGCCACCAGATGACTGTGTTCTGGGAGCACATGGCTTGTGTTGTGTTTGTCTGTTGCCATGTGCTCTCTCCTGTCTATTGTCTGGCCCCTCCCATCTTGTTACCTCGTTATTGCTTGTTGTTTGTCATTTCTCCGATCACAAATGCAGACATGGCTTTATGTTTACGCAGCGCGATGCAACGCGTAAAAAGACAGTATAAGTCATTATAATCAGTAATTATGTGTCACAGTCTTCAGCCGGTGTGCCCAGGAGGGCCACCAGATGACTGTGTTCTGGGAGCACATGGCTTGTGTTGTGTTTGTCTGTTGCCATGTGCTCTCTCCTGTCTATTGTCTGGCCCCTCCCATCTTGTTACCTCGTTATTGTTTTAGTTGCTCCACCTGTGTCTCCCTCGTTAGCCTCCTCGTTTGGTTCCTATTTATTCTCCTTGTGTCTGCCGTCCTGTGCTGATCCGTCATTTCTCATTGTGTGTGTTTCGTGTCTGCATGTGTGCAGCTTTAGCTCTGCCTGTCTGTTTTTCCCCCTCGGGGTGGTTTGAGTTTGTTTTTGTTTCATTTTTTACCAAAATAAAGTACCATTTCTCCAGCGATTGAGTCCTCGCTTCATCTCCCCGCACGCACCGTGACAGAACAACAACAACAAAGCAAAGCTAAACTGAGCACAAGACAAAAGACAAAAAGGATAAAACTAAATTAGGTAAAGCAAAAGCTAAAAGTAAACTAAACAAAATGAAAAGCAACTTAACTGTTTATGAAAAAGTCTCATTTGACTTCATGTTAGGGCAGCAATGTAATAAAAGACCTCATATCACTGGCTCAATAAAATCCCAAACAGAACGGTAGTCACAATCTACTCAACATCTCCCCCTAGGGTCAGAGAGACCGCCGTCTGTGTCATAACAATGCCAAAGAGCGTGCTAGTCCACATACCTGGCTTCTTTATAAAACTTGTGAGAGGCTACAGAAGTACATAAAAGTGTCATCTAACTTTCCCTGCCCAGACATCTCTGGCTCTCTCAAAGCCATTTCAAAGCTCAATGGCAGCTTAGACACGAGGTTTATTAGCCGGCACTGGCTACATTACAGGAGCAGTAAAAGAAATGACCACAGTCACATGGGCTGTGTGGGACGAAAAAGAAAACATAAACTGTTGTGGTTGAACAGAAGAAACACACACATGCAGGGGGCTGTTTAAATGCCCACCTGTATGGTGCGTAATCCGTGTCGCAGGCTCAAACGAAAACATAAACACACGCCGCTCCTGCTTGGAAGTTATATCATGACGGGTCGTTCCTTCTGTTGAACATAGGGGAAGGGGACTGCCGTCACATCGGGGGTGGCAAGTTGCGGAGGGGGGAAGAGGGGTGTCTGCGTGCGGAGTTTCCTTCTTTTAAAACTTTACAGCTGCTGATTCCTCCTCCACTGAGTATTTAACTACCACTGACTACTGTGCCTAATTCAACACAGATGCCTCGGTTGGCTTTTCTTCTACACCCCAGCACCATCCTGTGTTTCTCTCTCCGCACACTCACACACGCACGAATACATAGTAACACGTAAGCAAACACGCTTGACACACGTACGCACACACACAAACACGCATAAGCGCTAGAAAAAAAAAACAAGAAGAGGAAAAACAGGGGGTAAAGCAAACCTCGAACTCTCTGCTTCCCTCTGCTCTGTTGAAATGTTGTTTGCCTAACAGTGATTTCAGGACATGCTCTGCTTTCAATAACACCTTGGCAAAAACAAGCGGCCGGCAGCCAGGAAGCTGCGGACACAAAGACATGACACTGTAGTGGTGCTTGTTGCTGTAGTTATCTGCTCCCAAAACTGTCCTCCGTTCATGATGGGTTGCGAGATTATAACCCTCGATGCTTGGCTTGGCCCGCAACCTTATAAACACACATTTATCTCTGTCTGTAACAGCTCCTAATGTTGTTTTTTTCAATAGGACTGTATTGGCACCCTCTCAATGATGTTACGGTAACAGGTTAATGATGAAATGGCTAATTTGTCTCTGACTAAAGCCTTTAGGAACACACATTATGAGCTCCCTGGAGATGGCTGATAAACTGTAATGACTGTGCTGGGATCAGCACTTTCGCTCTGTAAAGGTACGAGGGATCCCTCGCACTGCCATCATCAGCTCTCCTGCTCACACGCAAGCGAGACTTGGAAATCCATCAGGCCAATTTCTTTTTAACCTTTAGACTAAATGGTAACATTTTTGTAGGGTAAACTCTGGAGCTGTCATAATATCATTTCTAAACAAATGCCCATTTACAATCACATGCACGTTTTGATATTATTTAATCTACTGTACAGGGGCATCATGCACTCTCATTTTTGAGGGGGCATGTGAGGAGGGGGGGGGGGGGGGTGTTGAGTGAACAATACACCGCATTTTAGCGATGACTAATCAGAACACCTCTGATTGGCCATTGCATTCATAAGCTCAAAAGAATCGTGTGTGATTGGTTATAATGCAGCGCTGTAAAAAATGCGTCTGTATCTTGCTCAGCGCCAGCCAGCGAACGCAGATTTGAATTTAGCAGCTGATAATATGATGCGCTGAATCATGCTGGTGTGATTGTATCAAATATAGAAAATATTATTTGACTATTTTTTGTCTTTTGGAAGCTGCATTCAGAATAAAATATCAATATTAGATGAAAAAATAACTGAAACATAAATAAATTACTGAAAATCTGAAATATTGTTTTGGCAACTAACCGAAATAAAATATGTTTAATTACTAAAACTACTAAAACTGAAATAAAAATAAAGTTAAATAGATACATTTAAAGAATAAAACAATAATAAAACTGACAAAAGCACAAAATTCAAATTAACGTGAAAACTGCAAATATAAAAATACAAGCTAATTTAAAATATTGATAAATATTCTAATTATACATAATACTAAAATAACGTTGCATTGAATGGGACTGTTTTAAAGATTACATCAAATACTAAACAATATCACAAAAGCCATGAGGTTTAAACACTGCACAATGAGTAACTGTGGGTGCATTTTAAACAGATAAGTGATGGTAAAAGGAGGGTAATGTTGTTTCAGAAATCAGTATATTGATTTCAATTTTACATTGCTGTGCTATAAATGTAGCACTACTACAGTTACAGTTTGGGTAACAGTCGTGGCCATCTTTATGAAAACTCTCCCCTCTTACCTTACATAACCGGACCAGACATCTCCCCAATGGCCCTCGAAGCCCCCAACCCCGGACCCCAATGTGCACCGCTGTTAAATAAGCCGAGCCCTCCCAAAAGCAGAGAAAAACTGTCTGCTGCCTTTCCTTCCAAATGCGTAATAACTCACAGGCCAAGCTTCTCAGTCGACTGCGGCTGCTGGCAGAAACCCACCCAACATACAGTAGAGCCCAAGTGCTCACAAAGAACACACAGCACTTTCTCGTCTTTTCTGTTTTTACGTTTGCATTTTCCCTTTTCTTTCTTCCCCTTGTTCTCCTTCTGTCAATATCACAAGAGAACAAGCACTGGAAAACTGAACAGAGTTGTTTTTGAAAGACCAGAGCTGCAAATGGCCCAAAACGTTCTTTGTGAATGGGTGGGGTGAAGGATGGCCGAGGGCTTGTGGAGTTAGTACAGCGCAAAACACTTGGCCAGGTGGAGTGGGATAAAGGATTGCCATTGCTACCACTGGCCTTTTGTGTGGGGGACCGGGGTCAATGGGTTGCAGTAATCACTGCTTGTTGCTTAGCGAGGGTGTACTGGGCCGGCAGATCTGCAGTGCCGCTGATCCGTGGCTGTGCCTTAAACTGAGTCCTCGGGGAGTGCGGTGGCGGCTGAGCATGGTGCGCTACTGTTTTGAAGTCAAATAGACTCAAACAAATTGCATCCTGACCGACTACACTCTGACACTTTCTTCACACGTTCAAGCAGTGGTGAACCAGAAAATGCAAGTGCAATTAACAGATGTGCATGGCACACACACGCAAGAAACAAGCAGACCTTCATGAACACGTACACATGCAGACACAGATACCAGACAGAGCCTTGGGAATGGACTTTTTGATACTTTTATGACATTAAAGGACAAAAACATTTAACTAGTGAACTGTTCAGCTGCATCAGGTCTGACAAACTCTATACCTGAATCTGAACCTGAAAGCTGAATACAAGTAAAGTGAGTCGCTTTTCGACATTTATCTCAATACTTTACATATACTCACCCTAATTACACACGAGTCAATGGCTGAACTCAAACTGAATACATTCAAGGGACTGTCCATAAGTCACTGAATCACAATTTGTGATGTCCTAACAAAAAAGTAGTTCCACAAAAATATTAAGCAGCACAACTGTTTTCAACATTGATTCAAATATAATAATGTTTCTTGAGCCCCAAATTAGCAAATTAGAATGATTTCTGATGGATCAAGCGACAGTGAAGACTGGAGTAATGTTGCTGAAAATTCACCCTTGCCATTATAGTAATAAATGAACACATTAAAATGGAAAACCGATATTTAAAATTGTAATAAGCCGCTAAAAAATGGCCAACCTTGCATTTATTAGTACTACTACAGTATTTCTAATAACAAAATACATATGTAAATTATTTTTAAATGAATCATTACAAAGAACTGTACAAAAGGATCAAGTTTGTTTGGAAATTTCCAAAAGCAAGACAAACACCACTGATGTTAAATCACAAAAGGATGCAGCCATATGCTGAGGGGAAAAAGGGGCATGTGCGTGTTAGCCAGACAGTGATTTCTGGAAGGAAACTTCCTTTCCATCACTCACAGATGACTTTTGAGGTTACTGTTCAGTCAAACTGTTTTCTAGCCTATTACAATAACAACAACAACAACAACAAAAATTCTTCCAGTCAGAAGGGAGGGTGAGAGTGAGAGTAATGTTTATGAAAAATCTACAGCTTCTCTTTTATTTGAGCAACATGGACCATTCCAGCAGTTCCAGGCAGAGAGAAAGACATAAAAACAACATCAAGCCAATAACAGAATGTCCACTGGCCTGAGCGCCAGCAATTGTGACCATTCACTTACCGTCTCACAGTTTGGTTAGCAAACCCTATGTAAGCCATAAATCTTTACTGCTACTTTCTCTGTATGTGGTCAGGGCATGAGTCAATGATTATTGTTTAATGTAATATAAACCGCTGTGTGTGCGCCAGAGTGCCTGTGTATGTTTGTGTTGTGTGCTTCTCTATCAAACCTGGTCAAAATACTTGGCAAAAAATGTAAGACACAGAGAGTACAGCACACACACATACAGTATAGCCTCCACAAATACACATTCAAAGGCAATTAACCAAACTGTATTACCTGTGTTTTAATGATATCGTCATCTCGCTGTATCTTCAGTGTATATCCTCGGTTGCAGGTGATAGTACAGCGAGCTCCATTGAAGTATCCAGGACTATTGCACTTCATCTCTGCATTACTGACCATTGGCTTCTGACATTCAATGGCGTCACATGAGTAATGAACGCAACTGAGGGATTACAGAAAGAACTTACATTATGACAGTGTCAAATCAGTTCTACTGTACAATTAGTTTACTTTAACACTCTTGCATTATGAAAGCAAATCTGGGCAACATTGGAAATAAATTAATCAGATTAATCATCGATTTTTAATTATTGATGATAACAAAACAACACAATAAATAATAAAAATCTAAATACAAATGCAAAACATGCATCAGAATTTACTCTATAGTAGTCAAACCATATATTTTCTGCTGTTGTACGATTTTGTTATTTAACAGGAAAACAAATGTATGCAATCTCTTATACCAAACAAATCATTTATTTCACTATAAATGTGTTTAAATTAAAGTTTGTAAGTTTTGTTACTAACAATTGTGAATCATATTTAATGGGTGAAAAACAAAAGCTTTGCTGATGACTGTGAGGATATAGCGTGACCAAGAAAATGCATTTTATTGGTTTTGGTTTAAAGTCAGTCCTTTATTATTAATCATTTCACTGCCATCTTTTATGCATCATGTGCTTGTAAAGTGAAGTAAACTGATTTATTATATAACATTGTGCAATAGGGGATTAAATAAATGTGTCATCAACATATCTTCAAAACTTGTCACTACTGCAATAGACATCATAACAAGACACACACACACACACACAAATTCAAATAGTATAATTACAGATCTAAGACCACATCTAAGCGCAGTGGACTGGCAAAACGTTTAGTCTCTACACTGACATGAGGAGAGCAATGCTAAATTTATTTCCTCACCTTTGGCCCATGGGGTTATAGATTTCATTGCTCTGGCATCCGCTGATAGTGATGGGGTCAAAATATTGAAAGGAGCGCAGCCCAACACCTGAGATGGCCACCAGAGGAGAGCTGAAGCTCACTATAATGGCTTTTGTCCGGTAGAAAGCCACGCTCAGGTCATGACTCACAGGAATCACCAATGGATTGTTCCGGCAGCTCAGCCTCCAGTCCCCTACAACCATCCAGCCGTCGCCAAATATACAGCACAAAAATCACCTATCAGTAAAAGGTGCGTTTGAAATGTTATTGAGATTGGGGTGAGACTGACCGAGAGGGTGGGTTTGCTCCTTAGTGTCCACCAGCTGAATAGTAATGTTGTGTTGTCTCTGGTCGATGTCGGCTGTTCCGTCTGCAGCCAGGTGGATAATGACCGCGGCAGCCACCATAGGATGGGCATAATAGGCCTTTTGGGAGACAAAAAACAAACAAACTCACTGACAGTCGGTTCTATCATTGCTAATTGTGACTTTACCAAGTGACATGTGCTACTGGATCAAAATCTTGTATTGATCAAACACAGCAACAAACTTATTTTTAACCCCAATCTTAGTCCTAACCGTTAACTACTCTAAAATTGTGAGGGAAATGAGATCCAGGGTTCTACACCTATTGCCCAGTGTGGTTCCCCTGACTCACCCAGTTATTTGTGATTACTGGAGTTTATAGAAATTGTGCTTACAAAGAATATTCAACCAGAAAAATGTATATTCACTATAGAAATATCCAATTTCAAATTTGAAAATTCTCTAAAGTTCATAGGTTTCCCATGACTATTGGAAACCTGTAGATTGATAAGAAAGCTGTTTCAGTTTAAATTAGTTTATAAGAATGTTGTTTCAGGAATATGTACTACTTGGTGAAGTCCCATGATCATGTTTATGCACCTGATGACATCAGTCATGACATCAATCTGTTCAACTGAAACCAAAAAAAGACATTAGCATGGTTAGCCATCTCTTACCTTCAACCAATATTGTGAAATCCAGCTGTGCTGCTGAGACTCCTCACAGGGAAACCAAGCATACTGAGACACGCCATGTGACAGGTCAAACACCTTCGACTGACAGCTCTGAGCAAACAAACAGAAGAGATATTTACTGTTTTCCTCTTCCTTAGTTAAACTCATGAACAGGCTCTTTTCTTTGCCATTTTTTTTTAAAGAAACCTCTACATTTATTTAACAAGGATGTGTCAAATTGATTTGAATTGATTGAACTGATTTGAATCGATTGAATTAGCCTTACAAGTGGCCAGGTTAAAGCCAGTGAAATCCGGGTGAACAGGGTGAACTGACCTACTACTCTCTTGAGCGCAAACCGCAATGAGACCAAAACTGGCCTGAACTCTAGCGACCGCTGAGTTACAGAATTGCTCCCATGAAGACATTTGACTCTCTGTGTGAGAGTGAAGTTTACCAATCATAAAAGTTGTTTTTCTGACTTTAAGGGCAGCTTAGGACATTTTAATCATAAAAAAAAAACTCAAAATGACCTTTTTTTACCTTTATTTTTTATTTAAATTTTTCCTAATTTCCATCAAGTCCCTATTTAGATGGAAAATTCACCCAGTTTTCAAGTAAAAGCCTCTTTCTAATAGACCATTTTAAATAAATGCTGATCTAAATGCCTTTCTTAGTGGTATTTTAACTGAACTGCTAACTCCAAGTCAAAGTCTTCTAAACTCTTCGCCCTTGTTTCACGGTGAATTGCGTCGAGTGTATTTCATTTCACTGTAGAATAATGTGACAGAGAACCCCACCCCTGAACCCAACTGTGGGGTGACAGTGTTGCAACGCTAGGTGACACTGGAGAGCTGCACGCTTCCTCACAGAGTGAATTGCACTAATTATGTGCTCAATGTTTGTGTATGTGTAACAGCAGCGGGAGCAGATCAGGGCAGCAGTCTCCTATCCCTGCACAATAGATGTCCCCAGGATTTTTGGGGTGGCATGCAGAGGGTATTTTCTGCGTGGTCAGCAGTACAGGTGTGCCGCTAACTCTCTGGCCTTTACACTGACCTCATTTCCCCTTCAAACATTTATCTCTCCATTTAACATCAATTCAAGTTGAGCTTCAGGGTGCTTCAAAGTTCAAGTTTTTCAAATTAATTTGAACTTCTACAAATGTAATGCAAAAGTAAAAGTACTATAGATAAGATATTTTCTGTAATTAAGTTCTCATTTGCCTCATTAAAATGAGTTACTATGAGTTTATTACAATGAAATCATTTTTTGTATCTTATTAGCATGTGTGTGTGGGTCTAAAATATCACTGATCGAGATATAGCTTTTTAATGTTTTGAATTTGTTGTTATTATTATTCTGTTTTCATTTTAATTGAAGTTTTTGTAATGTTGTGTGTTTTTGTAAGTTTTATTCGTTTTATTATTATTAATATGTCCATATAGATTTTATTTCAGTTTTTACTTTTAGTTATTTCGATTTAAACTAAATAAATGTTACCCTGGCTACTAGTTTAAATGTTTTTTTTTTACTGTATTTCAGGTAATGTTTATTTTTCAAGTAATGAATGTGTTTTTATGGTTTTAGTTACTAAAATGACAAAATAGTATATATGTAAGTATTATAGTTAGATATTAGTTTTTTTTTTTACTTGGAAATTGGCTATAACATTAAATAAAAGGATAAAATAAAGATATTTTTGTGATTTTCATGGAAATTGCACATTGTATACTCATAAACAATGACTTTTGCAGTGCAGTAAAATGTATAACAGTTCATTCTTGGCCAGTAATAGTTTTTTTTGTTTTTTTTAATTGAAAACATTTCAGCAGTTGTTCTTACATTTCACATGTACATAATCTTTCTGGACGGAAATTAATTTGTCTCTCGAAGTGGAATCATCTTACCGTTCACAGATCTAGAGGTGATGTAATATTACATGAATTAGACTAAGAGACTGGCAATTCACTTCATTCACTACTCGAAGACAGCTCTGCAGGGAGAGAGCTGACTGGAGCAGGGGATTCATAACATCTTTTTCATCTCTAAATGCCTTATAAAATTTGAATGAAACCATTACAAAATTAGCCGCAAAACTAGAGAATTCTAATGTAATGCTTAAAAGAGTAGATACTTAGAAAGGGAGTATGGGGTGAAAAAATAGAATGAGAGGATATTCGTTTCTGCACTCCTGGCTTAGTCTCATGAGATTCCTCTCTCTCGCGCGCTTTATCGCGCTCTTTCAGCACGCCACAGTAACCTCAGTGACACCGTTCCCTCCATTGAGTCAAGTACACTAATGTACGCAGCCTGTCCTGCAACTCTGTTGGCCGCTGTGCCACACAATAAGAGAAGAAGCAATTAGTCATTCCGATACGCTGCTAACATTGATCACCAACTGAAACACTTTAGCTGTTTCCAACTTGAACGAGGCCTTGATTTACATTCATATAAAATACTTGCAAAGAGAAACTCCACACAAAGGTGTATTGGCAAGACTATTCAAAGTCATCGTAACCTATGTGCCACCATTTCCCATTACGAGCCACAATACGCATTTTCTAGCAACAATGAGGTTCAAGCTCAACTGTGAAAAATGGCCATTTCTCAGTGCCATAAATCCTTAGGTTGCACACAGCGTGATAGGAATAGTTTTGTGACATGATTAATTCAGGAGCTTGCACGATTTCGGGCGCAAGAGACTCGCGCTCCACAAACATCACGAGAGCGGGGAGAGGAGGAGGAGAAGTGGCCAATAAGATTGTAAAATTACAAATGTATCATGCTGAAATATCCAGGGAGTAAAACAACACACCTTTTTTAGACGTCCCTCAGAAAGAGCCAATTCTTTACTACTTCCATGTGTGAAGGGTTAGAGCAGTGTCTCAAATCTCTCCTTAACAGAATCTGCTTCTCAGCCGTTTATTGCGAAAAACTGCAGTTCAGTCTGACTTCATCGTCGATATAAACATCATATTTTAGATCTGAGATTTTTCTAAAAAGAGCCACTTTTACCAACAAAATTTGAAATGTTGCCTCGGTAACTAACAAAAAAAAAGTTGAAGCACAAAAATGACTAAACCTGAAATAAATATAAATTAACCTTAAATATAAAAAACTGATAAAAAAAACCTAAGAAAATTACTAAATATTAAACTCAAATAAAACCAACAAAAATGATAATAGTATAAAAATAATACTAAAATAACACTTACATGATGTCATGAACTTTTCATGGGGGCTTCAACACATCCTACACAACGTATGTGCAGATGTGCTGGTATGCTTGTAAAAGTGCTCACCTTTGTCACTGCAGGATATCCAACAGCCACCTCCGCTGGACAGTGTATCTTCTCCTCATTGGACACCTCCACCGCAGTGGCCCACTGATCCAGGAAGCCGCTCGGAGTATAGAGACCACAGTCCCTTATGCTCACCTCCCGCTCAAAGTCCTCACACACACCATCACCATCGTAGAAGTAACATAAGCTGGGCTCATCTTCAGAGGAGAGAGTTAGAGATGAACTGGTATGAGAGCAGTACTGAACCACTGCACCAAAAGCCCATTTAAAGTGCTGAGATCAGCAGACTGTTTGAGCTGGTAGCAGTTATTCATGTCCTTAACTTTATTTCAGCGGTTCTCGGACAATTTCAGGTGGCGGACGATTTCAGTAGTGAAACAATGGCAGACCACCTAAAACACTCTACCTATCAACCTTAAAGCAATTATCTATAATCCTTCTGGGGACTCTCCATAGGCGTAATGCTTTTTCTACTGTACAGACTTATTGTTTATTTTGACATGAAAAAAGAGAAAAACTTAAAGCTAATATGAATGAAAGCAAAATAAATTACACTTAAGCAATAGGAATAATATAAAAATAAAACAGGAGTCAGACATTTTACTTATTAGTATTAGAAAAAAAGCTGATATTTAATTTAGCTGAGTACAGAACATTCTGTTTACTTTGTCATACAGTAATGTCGTTTAGAGCACTCTTTGTTTTACTTGTCATTACTTCAGTGTTAATACGTGGCCCTTTTTTTACTGGCTAGTCATAAATCAACATTCATGATGACAGATTGATTATCTTTTATGAATGTACTTCATGTATCAGCAGCCCAGACGCCTTTCTAGCAAATTGACGACGTCAATTAAAATCCCACTACCATTATCAGATGAAGGACTTAATAAGAGGTCTAGCCTTTTAAAATGTCGATTTGTGTTGTTTGTTCTTTGTTTTGTGCCCTGATATGTCCCGTTCCTGTTTTTGCCCAGGCCCTGAGGTGTCAGCAAAATCTGAACGCGTATAGCTGACACTAAGGGAACACGCTTTGAATTGCAACGTTCTGTCACCTGTTCAGTCCAGCCATCCTGGTAATCAACAGAAACGAGGTGTCAATCATTGCAAACAGCAGTCAGGAAACAAGTTTGCAAGATGTGCACTTATCAAATCAAACACTCTTTCCCTGGCAAGCTACAAAACAATATTAACAAGGACAGACTATGTAAAGTTATAGGCATCCTCAGGCGCACAGCAGCCGCAGTACATCATTCAGAGGAAGCTACTATGTATAAAGGGCAGCAGGATCCATGCTGCACCTTGTCACATCCCGTCCTGTGCTAAAAAAGCTCAGGAAGTGTTTTATTAATACTGTGTTACCGTGTACGGTTCGCGTGACACATTCAAAACAGAGTGCTGGAAAATATCAAGAAGCGCAGGGTTGACGTAACCGTAGATCTTTGCCCTTCTGCTTGATCAGAGGTTTGTCTTGGGGTTCGTTCAACATAAATGTAAGTTGCACAAAAAACACTAAGCTGAGATAATACATTTTATTTCTGTCAAGTGTTATGCTGTTTTGGACAGAGTAACCGACCGAAAATTGAGACGTTGTTGAAAGTGACAGTAAGCTCCAACTTTCCACACACTAATGTAGCATAAGTAGAATGTGCCAAATGTCTGTGACTATTATTTAAAGGAATATTTAAATAGTTCTGCCAAAAGTTTATATTTCTCAGTGAAATGCACAAAATAAATTTTTGAACACTGCACTGGTTGCTCTTTTCCGTGCACTTACAATGAATAAATGAACAGGGACTAAGGATGTTCTACACTCTTAAAAATAAAGGTGCTTCAAAAGGTTCTTCAAGCGATGCCATAGAAGAACCATTTTTGGTTCCACAAAGAACCATTCAGTCAAAGGTTCTTTAAAGAACCATCTCTTTCTTACCTTTTTGTAATCTGAAGAACCTTCTTTCGCCACAAAGAACCTTTTGTGAAACAGAAAGGTTCTTCAGATGTTAAAGGTTCTTTATGGAACCATTTAGACAAAAATGTTCTTCTATGGAATCGTGAAGCACCTTTATTTTTAAGAGTGTATATTGGCAAAAGACATTATATCTTGATATTTTCAGAGATTTTTTGAGTGTGTTTTCCAAAATTTCACGAAAATGGATCGATTTCTTTAAATGTGAAATTAAAACCGCCAATAGCTTGTAACAAATCAGCGGCTGCATTAAAAAATGCATACTTGACAACTATATAATTGTAATAGTTTATTAAATTTATTAAAATAGTTATAGTAATTTCTGGTGAGATTCTGAAGAGCACATCCAATGGACAGGTTACTATGAGGCCACTGAGGAGGAGCTGTGAATGGCAGTGAAGTGATGAATTTGACACAGATAGGTCACATGACAATGAGAACATGACAAATTTAGTATGTCCAGATTACATCCATATTGCACACATTTATACCATACTGAATGTACTTTTGTAATGGTCGATAAGTAATTTCATATTCTAATAGAGTATGTGTTTTCAGATGCAGTCACTGTCTTAACGAGAGAGTCATTGAGTCATTAATTTAGTTGGTGGGTTCAAACCACTGATTCCTTCAGGAACAGAGCAAGTGTCATTATGAATGAGTCATTGGCTCATCTGATTTGTTCAAAAATGCAGATTCTTTTAGGAACCAAATATAAAACACCACTGTATGTTGCTCAGAAATGCACAACTGTTCTGCTGTGGCTTTGTTTTTTGCAGCGGACAGATCACAACAAAACAACGGTTAAGAATTAGAAGTACAAAACGAGGATTTGTAAAGAATGTCAGAGGATTTTGATATAAGCCAAGAGGAGACTGGTTTTCCTTTGCTAAAGTAAGGAAACTTTGCTTCCTTTGATCCTGTTAACAAACGTTGGTTTTCACGAGACTCACTGGCGCATGCGCAGCGCTGACCTCATATGTCATGCTCCCGGAACTGCTTCTGTGTACAACTGCTTGCGCAAGCTACATTAAAGTGATTATTACGTTTTGAATATGGATATTTTTCTTACAAAAACGCATCGATTCACTACAGAAGGCCTTTGTTCACCCCCCGGAGCTGTGTGAGACACTTTTTTTTTATGGATGGGCGATTTTTATTTAAGTTCTTTAGGACTGAAGCAATGCAACACTCGCTGAGTGGCATTAAACAGCTTGAAAGATCAAAGACAATTTTTAATATACAGTGGTGTGAAAAAGTGTTGGCCCCCTTCCTGATTTCTTATTTTTTTGCATGTTTGTCACACTTTAATGTTTCAGATCATCAAACAAATTTAAATATTACACAAAGATAATGCAAGTAAATACAAAATGCAGTTTTTAAATGATAATTTCATTTATTAAGGGAAAAAAGCTGTCCAAACCTACGTGGCCCTACGTGAAAAATTAATTGCCAATTAATAAATTGTTAAATCATGAAAGAACTGCAATTAACCACATTATTTTTAGAAAGCTGAGTTAAATTTCACAGTTTATACCAAGTGTAGAGAAACAAGCCGAAACTGATTGTCACACTAA